CAGTGCTAGAGTGGAATAGAGTTCTAGCACTGAAGATGTTGCCTAGCCAGGTAACAAAATGTTTGCAAGAAAACAACCAAGCTCAGAGAACCTCAAGGACTCCACAGTCTGATACTACTTACAAATATAGCTTATAGCTGATCATATATCCAGGTTTGTATATAGAGAAGCAAGATTGTCTTTTTCAGGTTAGTGAACTGAACTGAACAGCAGTTAAGACAATGATTGTGAGTCTTGTGCCCGTTTTTGTTTTTTTGTACACGCATGGATACAACTCAGTAAAACTAATAATGTATTGGCCTTTCTTTAAAAAAAAAAAAATCCTGCTTTCTTTTGTCATACTTTACAGTTTAAATTACATGTGTTTACATGTGTAACTTTTTAAAGCTGTGCTTTTCAAACTTTTGTGACTTTCTCTAGAAAAGGTTTCCTGGGAACTATGTAACTTTAATTCTTTTCATTGTTAACCTGAAATGTGTCTGTTATGTATACTTTTAGGAAAGCAGTTGAAAAGGCAAGAGACCCTGAGTTACAAGGAATAACTATCTATGTTGCTCAAGACTGTACAGGTAAGAGAAAGTGTATTATGTGCTTGATCATCCTTCAAAATACTTCCCAAACTTTTACTGTGAGCCTAAAAATGTAATATTAGAATCAAAGGTTCCTACTCAGATGGATAGCTTCTACTGTTGCAAGGTCATCTTTTAAAATTAGACCAGGAGTGCCCCATCTTTTATAAGTCTAGTTGATCTCCTGCTCATGAAGCCTAAGAAGGGAAAGGTACATTGTAAAACTACTTACACTTTTCTATATCAAGCCACTACAAGGTTACATCTTACAGAACTTTCTATTTGAATCATATTAAATATGTTAATAAACTAAGCAGAAACATATGGGTAACGTTTTTAATAGGTTTAGCAGAGACTTGTGGTTGTTTAATGTTTGACTGAAAAAGCAAGCCTTTTGCTATTTTACGTAGGAAATTAAAATGGCCTGGATCACATGAGCCACTTAACTGGGTCATTGGGTGGAGTGTGGATGTTGCATGAACACCAAAAGTGAGTTAATTGATCCACTAGCCCTGAGGGTACTAATTTTAGCTCAAAACAGAGCTGTTCCCTAACTCCCTCTAGTGAACTAACTTCCCTCTGTTACCTACACTCCTTATGGAATATTAACTATCCTTTGTGACATCTGTGAAAAGAGGCAGAAACACATGGGGCTGAATTCAGGATCTGTAATCCTGGATTTTAATTTCTTTTCACCTTCTGGAAGGGAAGCAGACCATTGGATCAGCCACGTTCTGTAAACAGGGCAACATGTTGACAGTGCTCAAGAATCCTAAACAATGATAATTGTATTCCTGGAAAACAAAGCATGGAGTTCTAAGTTTTTGAATAATCTATGTAGCTGAAAGAATATGGATGCATATTCTGATTTGCCTAGCAGCCTATCCACATTCTTGATTTCTGTAAAATCTGCTGTAAGATGGTCTTCTGAACTTATTGGCTCTGTTTTGGGCTCATTCCTTTTTCTCGTAATGTTATACGTGATTTTTTTTCTCTTGACTACATACAATTATTACGCTGCTAATTTTGGAGATGAAATGTTTTAACACAGAAGACCAGCAGTATCTGCAGAGAATGGGGGTTGGGTGTCCAAATCAGCAAGATTTTGCATCGTGATGCAAACCCTATCTCTTTTGTTTGTGTGTCAGTGTTGTATGCAAGTTCAAAAGGGATGGGCTTGCATAGCAACATTCATCTGCCATCTTGTCAGTTTTAACACACACATATGGTAGATGCCTCTGCTAAAGCCATCATTGGTTGGTGGGAGCACTCTTTTTTTTTTTTTTTTTTTTTGCATTTTCACACATCAGTGCGCACCAAGAAACTGAAGGGATAAGGATAAAGTATGACAGGATGTTTTTTCTGCTCAGATCCTTATAAGTTGTTTTGATCTATTTGGCAAAAGAACTCAGTTTGTGCTTAAAATGTAGTTCATAAAGCTTGCTTACCTTTGTTGTCTCTCTTTCAAGTTTACAAGTCTGATGTTGTTGATGCACTCTGCCCTTTCATGGATTCTGAAAAGACAGATGCCAAATCTGTGATTATATTAATTCCTGTGAGGCTTGGTGGTGAACGGACCAATATGGAATACTTTGAGTTTGTGAAGGTATGAAATGAGTCAGTCACTTTTCAGAATGGGACACTAAATGGCATGAAGGTTGAAGGTGGTAATTAACCCATTAATACTTGAAATTTCAGTATGCAGACATGATTGAAAATCCTAGATATTAAAGAGTAAGCTAGTATAGCTATTCCAGGCCCTAAATAGCTATCTTCCTGCTACAGAATTCCCCATAAAAGACTGAACTCATTTCCCTCTTTTTGGTGATTCCTTCAGAGATCAAATAGCTTCCAACTCTTTTTCTTTCTCATAAATTGTAAAGATTATTACTTCAAGTAACATCAGCAGTGGGCCATCTCTGAAATTGGTGCTCCTGTTGACCACTTTTCTATTCCTAGATTTTGGGCATATTGAAGGATAAGGATCGCTGCATGTGTATAGGAGTACATAGATTCATATTAGGGCTTCCGCAAAGTGCTTTGCTTCTTGAGGCAAGGATGCACTTCTCCCATTTCCGTATGTAGCTTCCTTTGGAACTAGGAATTGAATCATTTGGTGATTGGTGGCAGCAAGATTTGGGGATAGAGGGCAAATTAGGTTAGGAAACTAGTGGTGGTGAAGAAATAATAGGAGATTGCCCTCTTCCAGTGTATCTGCTCTTTGAATTATTTGCCTTACTCTGACTGTAAGCCTAGTTTTTTACAACACAGGTCGTTTATATCCTTTCAGTTTATTTGCAGACTTCCCTATCTCTCCCGCTCCCTTATCCTTTGAGAGAAGAGGTTTGGAGGTGAATTTGAAAAAGAATTTATTCTTCACTGTAAAAATGTTCAGAGCCAGTAGAGGTCTAAGAATAGAGACCATAGAAGCTGCGTCAGCAGGCATTTGGCTTTTGAATCTTCTTGGAACGGTTTAATATAGGATGTGACTTTTTTATACATTGTCCAGAATCCTTGGATGAGCTTTGAATATTGCAAATGAACAAATAAGCAGGGAAGGAAAAACCAACCCCTTTACTTTTGTTCTCACATAAGAAGCCATGTCATTACTCATGAGTTGTTCAGGGTCTATAAGCTGTTTGAAGACACAACAGGAAAATATAACAGAAGCCATTTGACTAAATCAAATAAATTAAAGTCAGTAATTTCTAACATTTGGTAATTATCACACAAGGCAAGGTGAGCTTTGTGTGACTTAATATGCACTCACAAAATTCAGCATATTTTGCATATGTTGATATTTGCTTGATTATTATAAGCGCCAAGAAAATCTAATATTTCAATGAAACTTGTTCCAAGGGGTCAAGTTAGTTGGAAGAAATCAGTTACGCCAACTGAAATATTAGTTGTTTATTTTTTGAAATGAAATGTGGATATATTCTGTTAAAGGAAAGCACAGGCAGCGCATATCTAAAGAAGTTTTTGACGCTTTAGGAACCAGAAGTCTGGAATAAAAAGAAGAATGATAAGGCAAACAGAAGTTGCAACAATGCCATACTCTTTTTTATTAGTATTCAGTAGGGTAACAGCCAAGGAAATGAAGATGGTGAAGAGGAGAATGGGAGGACAGGGTGGAGACAGATTTAACAAATGCTAGATCATTCTCATCTGTAGCCTACAAACAAAGATAAAATGGACTGTAACTCCCCCTTTTTTTGATTAATAGTTGGGACAGGGGCCAGAATTCCACTGATCCTTGGGCTAACAAATCTCTATTGTGTGGTCTTACTCTAGGAAGTTTTCTATACTGATTTCCTCTTGCATTTAAAAAGCTGCAGTCCAGAGCTTCTGCATGTAGGGTTTATGGTTCCCTTTTGCAAAGCATTCTATTTATACATAAGCATTTCCATATTAATGGAAATTTTGTTATTCTTTATCAGCTAAAAAAATAGTTAATGTTTGTGCATTTGGGAATTGGCAAGCAGCTTGCACTGTTCTAAAACTGAGTGCCACAGGTCTAAACTTGCTGTACTGCAGTCTCTTGCCATGAAGCCTAAACCCCAATTCATTTACTCTTATGATGACAGGGAATTTTGAGTCTTGACTACTGCATTGGCATTATTGGAGGCAAACCTAAGCAGTCATATTACTTTGCTGGATTTCAAGGTTAGTGTTTTAATATAATGTATCCTCTTTTTTTCTTCAAATGTGGCATGCCTCTTCCCCTCTATCTCTGCTCCAAGAGCTTTGGAGTTATTATAAGACCCACAGAAAGGAAAATGATTAAAACAGCAAAAAGAGTTCTTTATTAATTTATCAGACCCACCAAAGTCCAGTCATTTGTCATTTGCTCCATATTATAATTAGATTCTGTAAAATGTATATTTAATTTTCCTTGTTGCACAAACAAGGGATAATTTATCTGTTTCATCAAACTCTCCGAGCCTTTCCCTGCTTACTACCTGGCAGATCTTAGTTATATATTTATCCTTTAGTAGTTTAAATGGTGCAAGTTGATGACCGAATGACAAGCGGATATGTTCTTCCTGTCACAATGAGGAAGTACGATGCATTTTTCATATGCAAACTCGAGGTATATAATTGTGTGTTTGTAAAAGTAATTTTATCTCCAAAAATTAAATGACAGTATTATCACTTTATCAAAATTCTGCTTCTGCAAGCATATTTGATTATGCAAAAGTTAATCTGTCCTGCAGAAACCTCAGTCAATGAATATACCCAGGCAGACAGTTACTTGCTGAGGGATTCTTCTCCCCCCCCCCCCCCCCGCTCCTGTTCTGCATAGAAATTGGATTGTAAGCAGTGTAATAATATGGTGTTTTTTGAATTACTTGTCTTTTGTTTTGTCCTTGTAGATGACAGCTTGATTTACATGGATCCTCATTATTGCCAGTCTTTTGTAGATGTCAGCGTAAAGGATTTCCCCCTTGAGGTAGGATGGATAAAGAACAGCACTGTTTGCTTCATGGATGAGCCAAACACTAATTATTAAATCATTTCTTCCTCCTCCTCCCCCTTTTAGATCTAGAGTAACAAAAAAGGCCAAAGGCCCTGTGTCAAATGTTGATTCTTTATATATAATATCAAATATATAGCCGTTGTTTTTTGGGAGGCTGCCTGGATCACATTTTTAACTTGAGAGAATCCAACATCTTAAAAGTGGGACTCCACCGTGTTAGCATCGCAGTCTCTGTCCTGTGACTTCCCTCCCTCAGGCTAGTTTGTACTGTGCTGCAGTTAGAAGAGTTTCAAATGTTAGATATCCAATTTCACTGCTGTAGGAAGGAGAACCTTCCCAGGTGTTTGTGTTAAACATTTATCAATATATTTGTATCAAATTCAAGCGCTTTAGGTGCTGACATTACTCTAATAGGAAAGCTATTTCTTTCTCTTAGATGCAAAGATTCTCAGTAGGAGCCTGAAAGGTACTGGGCAAGAAAACAAGCAGTGCTACCTACTGAAGTCTCCAAATGGAACCTATAGACAAGCATTAATTAATTAATTACTGGGATTTATATGCTGCTTCCATTCATTGCACCCAGACTAGTAGTTGTTTAGGTTATTTGTTGTAAATTAAATGTGCAGGCCTCTGTTATGTGGATGCCTTTGACCTATGGGAGCAGGCCATGAACAAATGGGACACAGTGAGAGTCTTGTATATATTGTTTTCTTCAAAAAATGTATGTGTGTGTGTGTGTGTGTGTAGAGTGGGGGGGGAGACATACTACAAGTACCTTGGTATCCCATAGTCACATGGGATCCACGATGAGGAGGCAAGGAAGACAGCAACATCCAAGTACCACCAAAGGGTAAGGCATGTCCTGAAGAGCCAGTTCAGTGG